TTGATATTGTGAAATATTATTGTTCCGGCATCGAACTTATTCCGCACGAAACGTTCGTCGGAAGCATCGCCAACATTCGCTCATTTCGCCGATTATCTCGAACGCTCTCAAAACGAAACGCTTAGATCCAACGAACACGTGATCGTCATAAATATACACGGTGTTTATGTTTAATCTAAAGACAAAGGAGGCACTGGAGCTTCGCCTTGTTTTGGACCTCATTAACGGTCGACGATGTATTCGGTCGCGTCGATCGACGAACGGCCGGCAGATTCGTCCTCCAGCTTTCGTTCGAGACTGTCGTGCTTAAGTTTACCTCTGCACTTTAATTGTAACGTGAGCCGAATTTAACTGACTACGACGATTAAACGTTTTACAATCAAATTGAGTGAATTCGTACGAATAACACTCCCTCCTGACCGTCGAGTCCTTATCCAAAGGCTGTACTAGCCGCTGGCCGATTTTTTTGGAGCTGGAACATTTTGGTCCTTCGAGCCGGATCGACATCAGGATCATCTTGTTATCGTCTACTCCGTACGAGTTCTGACAAGAACAGTCAGTATGCCGAACAGCAATGCGGCTGTGGAGGAGCTTCTTGCACGTCAGACTCAATTCATAAGCTCCGTGTTCCGTGCGCTGCCTAATTTAAAAAAATTAGAACAAGCAAACATAACAGTCGCCGTACTGCGACAACGTCTCGCCTCGCTGAAAAAAACCTTTCACAAGTGCCAAGAATTAGACGGACGGATCCATTTTCACGCTGATGACAAAGTCAAAGCCTCGCACGCCTACTTCCAGGATGCTCAATTCGTTACCTGTGAAGACAGCTACAACGAAGCAGCCGACTACTTCGCCGAGCGACTGCATGGTATGGAAGCACACGATAATGCCGCGCCACACGATGTAAGTCGTTTTTCTGATTCAATTCGCTCGTCATCTCATCTGCCGAAGATCAACTTGCCAAGTTTCGATGGAAGTCTCGAGAAGTGGGAGAGTTTCCGCGACCGTTTTATGTCAATGATTCATAACGATCAAAATCTATCGAACGTCGAGCGTATGCACTATCTATTTTCTTGTCTAAAAGGGGATGCAAGTAACGCGCTCACTCATCTCGCGATTACCGAAACCAATTTTCCAATAGCATGGCAGATTCTCGTGTCGCGCTATGAGAACAAGCGTCGACTTATCTCAATTCATTTGCACACCTTGTGCAATTTACCGTCACTCAATTCTGAAACCGCCAAAGACCTTCGGGATCTCCGCGATAAAACAAATATGGCGATACAAGCGTTAAAAAACTTAGGTTGCTCAATCGAATATTGGGACGATATAATCGTTTTCCTCGTGTCGCAGAAATTGAATAAGTTGTCCAGGAAGGCGTGGGAACTCAAGTTAATAAGCGATACGGTCGATTTCCCGACGTATAGCGACCTCGACCAATTTCTCGATTCTCGACTTCGCGCGCTCGATGCGATTACGCCGGTGAATTCGAAAGATAATACAAAGTCGACAAAAAATAAGGTTCTCGCGGCCCATTCGGTAGCTACCGTCAACATTTCATGCCCTTTTTGTAAAACAAATCATTTGTTGCATCAATGCTCGACATTTTTAAGCAAAACTCCATCTCAGCGGTTCGACTTTATTAAAAGGAATAAACGTTGCATAAATTGCTTTAGTATTAAACATGCGGTAAAGGAGTGTACCAATTCTCATCTCTGTAAACAGTGTCAAAGCAGGAAACATCACACTTTATTATACTTCGACGCGACGGATAAACCAAGCAAAACCGAGGTCGGGCAAACGTCCTCGCCGACCGACAATACTGTTGACACGGAAATAACGTCTCATGTAATGTCTAAGTCCGTGTCACCAAAATCGAAGATTCTCCTTGCAACCGCTCGTGTGCGAGTGCAGTCCCCGCAAGGATGCTTTGTAACTGTGCGCGCTCTGCTCGATCAGGGCTCCATGTCAACCCTAATCTCCGAAGCCTTAGCACAATCCTTGCGCTTACCGCGAATGAAACGCGTTGTACGAATTAGCGGCATCGGCGAAACTCAGACCGCCGTGCGTCACGCGACGTCGATTGTCCTAACATCCGCGGCGAGCGAAACTCCCGTGTACGAAACAACAGCGCTCATTCTGAAATTGCTCACGAGCTATACGCCAGATCAAACGCATATTAAAGGTCCGTGGAAGCATATAACCGGATTAAAATTAACTGACGATCAACTTATGAGTAACGATCCCATCAACATCATTATCGGAGCGGATTTATTTGGTATGCTTCTCCTCGACGGAGTCCGTAAAACACCCGACGACGAGCCGGTTGCACAAAATACGACCTTAGGCTGGATCCTTTCCGGTCACATATCATCCAGTTCACCCAATTCCCCCGGGAACCTTCACATACATCTCGGAACCGTCCTCGAGAATCTCGATTCAAACCTTCGTTGCTTCTGGGAAACAGAAGAGATCCCTCAGAGCACTCAATTAAGCCCTGAGGACCAACAATGCGAGGAGCATTTCTTAGCGACTCACTTCCGTAATGAGGAAGGGCGATATGTCGTAAGGCATCCCTTCAAAAGTTTTCCTCCGCAGTTAGGCGAATCTCGTTTCGCCGCACTTTCAATTCTCTATCGGTTAGAGCGACGCTTTGAGCAAAATCCTTTTCTAGCCTCCGAATATCGCGCCTTCCTGTAGGAGTACGAACAACTTGACCACATGCTTAAAATTCCGTCAACCGAGCCTCGCGTAAAACCACGCAATCTTTATTATATACCACACCATGCGGTTCTCCGGGCTGATAGCGCCACTACCCGCCTGCGCGTCGTTTTCAACGCATCTTGCAAGACCACGAACGGCACGTCACTGAATGACCATTTGTTAGTTGGTTCAAAGCTCCAAACTGACTTGACGGAAATTATTTTACAATGGCGGCAATATCGGTATGTCTACATCGCCGATATTGCCAAAATGTATCGACAAGTATTAGTTAATCCTCAGGATACCGATTATCAACGCATTCTGTGGCGTCCCTTGCCCAAAGCGCCGATCGCAGATTACCGGTTACTTACAGTCACTTACGGCACCGCGGCCGCTCCGCACCAGGCCCTTCGCTCGGTAGATCAACTCACAATCAATGAAGGGGCCGATTTTCCGCTTGCCGTTCCTGTGTTACGTAAACAAACTTATGTCGACGACTGCGTCTTCGGCGCGGACGATCAAATTCTCGCTCGTCAAACTCGTAATCAATTGATCGCGCTACTGAAAAAGGAAGGTTTTTTGCTAAGAAAATTGGCAAGCAACAGCCCCGAACTTCTTTCCGATATTGATCCGTCTGACCATGGGTTAGCCTGCAACAAAAATCTCGAGGTTGACGAAACTATTAAGGTGTTAGGGATCACGTGGAATCCGAATCTCGATAGTTTCACCTTTAAAATAAATTCGTCGCAAAATCTGGGAAACGAAACGCGCAATACTATCCACCATCGCGAAATTCTACGACCCGCTTGGCTGGGTTACTCCTGTGATCATAACCGCCAAGATTTTGATGCAACAATTATGGCGTATCAAATGCGACTGGGATGATCCAATCCCACGGGATTATCTCGATAATTGGTCTCAATATTACACGCAACTTCACCTACTGGAAAATGTTACAATTCCACGCTGGACGACATACGAATCCGCGACTCTGCAAGTAGAACTGCACGGCTTTTCGGACGCGTCAGCAAAAGCGTATGGAGCCGTCGTATATCTCAAAATTATTTAAGTCGACGGGTCGGTTACCGTGTCGCTGTTAACGGCGAAGTCGAAAGTCGGCCCCCCTTAAAACCTTGAGCATACCGCAACTTGAATTGTCGGCCGCTCACCTTCTCGTAAGGTTAATTAAATTCATTAAGTCAGTTTTACAATTACGAATGGACGATTACTGTTGAACAGACTCACAAATTGTACTCGCGTGGCTCAACAAGCAACCGTCGCATTGACAAACCTTTGTCGCGAATCGCGTCTCCGCGACTCAAACACTTGTTCCCGACGCCAAGTGGCGTCATGTCCCGACAAATGACAACCCCGCGGACTGCGCTTCACGCGGTTCCACTCCGGATGATCTTGCAAAATCCAGCCTTTGGTGGGCGGGCCCCTCGTGGTTGATGCTGTCGTCGGATCACTGGCCACACTCGTGCCCTCCGTTACAGCCCGACGCGCCCCTCGAGGTTCGCAACCAAAAACTGGTAGGTACCACACTTGTTTCGGAACGTTGGGTTCTGGCATCTCGATTCTTCTCTTGGCCAAGATTGCTCCGTGTGACAGCCTACCTGCTGGTATTCATCGATAGAATTCGTAGATCCATCTATTCCTCAGAATCCGTGCGCAACAGTTCTCGTAAATCCGCGATCCTTTCTCCTGATAAGATTCGTGAGGCAGAGACGTATTGGCTCAAAACGATGCAGTCAGAGCTCTTCGCTGAAGAGCGCGGGCTGCTCGCCCGACAAAGATCCGTGCCGAAATCTTGCGCGTTATCATCGCTTAATCCGTACTTAGATTCGGAGGGACTGATTCGCGTAAGAGGAAGGCTTCGTCAGTCGCATCTCCCAGAAGCTATGAAGAATCCGATCATCCTGAGCTCTCATCATCTTCTCTCCCTCATTATCCAACATCATCACCTGAAAACGTTACATGCGGGTCCACAACTCACTCTTGCCTCCTTACGCAATGAGTTTTGGATTTTGCGAGCAAGCGCTGTCGTACGCGCCGTTCTATTTAAATGCATTGCCTGCACTCGTGAAAAGGCCGAAGTGCCGGTCGAGCTCATGGGGGACTTACCGGACGTTCGAGTTAATCGCGCCTCCCGCGCCTTTGTGCACACCGGCGTCGATTATGCTGGGCCGTTGCTAGTCAGAAACGCTCTTGGTCGAGGATATAAAGCTCATAAGGCCTACATAGCATTATTTGTCTGTCTCACAACGAGAGCCGTGCATCTCGAGCTCGTGAGCGATTACACGTCCGCGACTTTCGTCGCTTTCTACCACAGATTCGTATCACGCCGCGGTTTGCCGAAATCTATGTATTCAGATAATGGAACCACGTTCCAGGGCGCTGATCGAGAAATGACCGAAGCTTATTCTACCGCGATCCGCGATCCTAATTTTTAAAACTACATTGCCACTGACGGGACATCATGGCATTTCTTGCCTCCCTCTACGCCACATTTCGGAGGGCTGTGGGAGGCTGGAGTCCGCAGCGTCAAACACCATTTGAAACGCTGCGTCGGCGCGCACACGCTAACTTTTGAAGAAATGACCACGCTACTTTGCCGAATCGAAGCGTGTTTGAACTCTCGCCTCGTCGCCGCGATGTCAGAGAGTATCGAAGATTATCAAGCATTGACTCCCGGTCATTTTTTGATCAGCGGCCCACTTATTGCGCCTCCGGAACCCAGCGTTATCGATTTAAACGAGAACCGATTATCACGTTGGCAACTCTTTCAGCGATTCACCGAAGGTTTTTGGAAGGCGTGGGCGAATGATTACTTGCATACCGTTCAACAACGCCCAAAGTGGCGAATCGTTCAGCGACTGGCCAAACGCGGTCAATTAGTATTAGTGCGTAATCCGCTAGCGCCACCGAGTCATTGGGAACTCGGGCGCATTACAAATGCCATCCTGGCGCTGACGGATTAGTTCGCGTCGTGACAGTGAAAACGACACGCTCTAAATACAAGCGCCCGATCGCTAAACTCTGTTTTCTACCAGTGGATATAAATGTCGAAACCTCACAAGACTCCGCCATGGCGGGCGGAGCTAACTGAACACAGATCTTTAGTTAACTAAGTCTCGCCGGACAAGTTCTATATTCTCGTCGTTTTGCAGTCTGTATAAAAACTTGTACATAAATTCTACGCTTAATTACTCATGTCAAATCTATAGAAATCTATGTCTGTTTGTTTGTCAAGCTTGGACGTATTCGCAGATTCACCTCGTTTCGAATGTAACCATTCGAGGCAGGCGGTATGTTCCGGCATCAAACTTATTCCGCACGAAACGTTCGTCGGAAGCATCGCCACCATTCGCTCATTTCGCCGATTATCTCGAACGCTCTCGAAACGAAACGCTTGGATCCAACGAACACGTGATCGTCATAAGTATACACGGTGTTTATGTTTAATCTAAAGACAAAGGATCTAAAGGTACCGGAGCTTCGCCTTGTTTTGGACCTCGTTAACGGTCGACGATGTATTCGGTCGCGTCGATCGACGAACGGCCGGCAGATTCGTCCTCCAGCTTTCGTTCGAGACGGTCGTGCTTAAGTTTACCTGTGCACTTTAATTGTAACGTGAGCCGAATTTAACTGACTAGGGCGATTAAACGTTTTACAATCAAATTGAGTGAATTCGTACGAGTACCACTCCCTCCTGACCGTCGAGTCCTTATCCAAAGACTGTACTAGCCGCCGGCCGATTTTTTTGGAGCCGGAACAATTATTAAGCATCAAGATCCGCTTCGACCGAAAACGGCACTTCTCATTGCTTATATGTTATTTTAAGTTTTTTTTTCTAATTTTGCATAAAATACTTACTTTTTTTAATTGACATATTAATTTTTAATTTCCATTGAAAGGTTGAAAAGGTTTGGTTGAAGATTTGTTAATTTTCATGTAAAATTGTAGTATCTTATAAACATATAAAAAAAGCAAATTTATGTAGATTTTCATGAATTCACGAGTTGTAAAAGGCTTAAGGATTGTGTCGTTTTCTATAGAACCTTGTAGTATTGTATGCAAAATTACAATCATTCACAAATCAGAAAGGACCACGCACTAATTATATGAAAAAAGTGGCCACCGTTAAAATCGACGAAAACTACGGAAAACTGTAGCACAACTCTCAAAATATGCTAATTTTTAAGCTACGAGCCTATAAAGGTAATATTGGTGGTATAAAACGTATACATATTATACTGTAACGGCCTGACTTTATCGAACACGGACTGGTTTACAGGATCGGGAGTTCGATGAAAGGCCCAGAGACAGTAATCAATTTGCCATGTGACAGCAACATACACTTTATTCAAAACTATAATATGAACTATAATATAAAATACTCGGGATTCGGTATTACATACAAACTGGACGCGGTAGATTACAATGGTCGGTAGTGCCGGTGCAACGCGACGCGGTATACGAAATATCGGGACTCGAGTCTTCGCCTCGAGATGCGGTACGCAGAGGCGGGAATAACGCAGCGCGGTATTTGACAGAGCGGAGTCCGTCGCGGTATAAAGGTATAAGACGATACGGAACGCGGTATATTACATACGGAATGCGGCTACAGATAGACGATAACGGAACTAACGGATAACGGAACTAACGGAATTAATACATAAAATAAAGATATAAGACGACAACGGAACGCGGTCTATTACATACGGAACGCGGCTACAGATATCGGATATGCTATATGAACCGAATTAGATATTCTATATGAATCATCGGCAGTGCCGGGGTGCCGAAATGCTGAAACTAATTAATACAACGAAGCGCGGTATTTTGCATCAGAGGATGGCGGAATCCCGGGGTCACGGTCGTGAGAACCCTCGCTGCGAGGCCGAGCACGCTCGACCCCACGGTGCCGTGGCCGTCGGGGTAAGTGTCAGGGAGTTCGGGAACACTCTGAGAACTCAGTCGAGAACCAGAACTCTGGACCTCGTTGTACGTGTTGCCCTAGGATTCGGAAGGTAGCTTCGTCAAGAATAGCGGAGAGCCGCGGTGAAGACGAAGTGTCTCTTCGTCGAGCGCGCCGGTTTTTTATATCGCTCGGCGCGGTGAGCTTGGCAGGAGGGAGGCCGATCGTCAGGCGACGGTGCGGTGGTGGGAGCGGCGCGATCCCGCGTGCTCGCTTCGGCGGGGATCGGCTCGCTTCGGCGCTCGTCGGCATCGTGCGGGAAGGCACCGGTGCGGCGGATTTCCCGCGCACACGGTGCGTTTCAAGCGTTTAAAAAAATGTGGGCGCACCGCGCTCTGTCCTCGCCCGACGGAGAATCGGTCGGGCGGCTCCCGGCGGGTGGTAGCCGGGGACGATGCTTTGTCGAAAGGGGCGCATCGTTACAATACATACCCACTAGCATACCCACTCTTTAGCGTTACCCGAGATCAACCAGCGTGGAGGTGGTGAGTGTCTGATTTTCTTTTTTGTTCTTGTTTTTATTTTTTAAATATTTTTTTAAATATTTTTTATTTTTTAATATTTTTATTTTTTTATTTTTTAAATATTTTTTATTTTTTATTTTTGTTTTTTTCTTTTTATCTTATAGTGTTTTTCTATTGTCTCAAACTCCTTGATTCTCCCTATTACCAGCATCAATGATGTTATGCAATAATGCATTGCTTGGATATTTTACACTTGGTTGATGACGCGCATATCCGAGATATCAAATCACGCCAAATCAAGGAGTTTGAGACAATAGAAAAACACTATAAGATAAAAAATAAAAAAATAAAAAATATTAAAAAATAAGAAATATTAAAAAAAATATTTAAAAAATAAAAACAAGAACAAAAAAGGAGATCAGACACTCACCACCTTCACTGGTTGATCTTGGGTAACGCTAAGAGTGGGTATACTATGTATAATATGTGTACGTTTTATACCACCAATATTACCTTTATAGGCTCGTAGCTTAAAAACTAGCATATTTTGAGGGTTGTGTGGATTTGAACTTTTCATCGGCATCACACAAACTACAGTTTTTTGTAGTTTTCGTCGATTTTAACGGTGGCCACTTTTTTCATATAATTAGTGCGTGGTCCTTTATATAGGTAAAAAATTGTACACTTATGTATTTTTCTATTGGACTTTACAACAAACTATACGAAAATAAAAACATAAGTATTTTGATTTCTGCGAATTAAGAAGTTATTAATAATAGATGAATTTTGGAAGATTTGTGTAAAAATTTGTAACATTTAACTAAAAATTACAAATTTTAATTAACCATAATTGTAATAAATTTTTGAGCTGTACAAAAAAATCGGTATTTGTTAGTATTTGTACGCAGTTGTAGTATTTTATGAGAAACTAAGAACTGAATTAGATTCTAGGTTGCATAGTTTTACGATACGTAAATTGTAGTAGATTTCTATAATTATTTATAAATAATTGTAGTATTCTACAAGTAAGCAGATGTTTTAATATTTGGTTTTTTCTTAAATTTTTAAAATTTGTAGATCTTTGTACTATTTTTTATAAAATTGTAGTTTTTCATAAAATACTACTTGCAATAATTTCTTGATTTGAGAACATTATAATTTGTGGTACTATTTCGTAGATATTTCTACAAAAAATTAAATATTCCAACAAAAATGTGCAAAATTCTATTTCTAGTTAAATTTTGTAGTTATTTATAGAAATTTTTTCCGCCAGGGTATAGAAAAGTATATAGCCAACTTTGTGTTTTTTTTGTAAATAAGTGCATTCGAATTGCCCGCCAACAATCCCGCACCATCCAATCACGTGCCAATCATGTACGCGCCCAATGCGCCGCGCTTCCAGTCACGTGCCAATCATGAACGCGCCGAATGCGCCGCGCCGCACTGATCGCTATTTGTTTTCGTCTCCTGTCCTGTCGCTGCCTGTCGCACGTACTGATCGCACGGTCGCACTCGACGACTAGTTTTGGAGAAGAAGGAAAAGACGACCAGTTTTGAGCTTGAGAATTGAGAATAAATTGCCGAGCTGAATTAGTGTATTGACACGATTGATGTTAATAAAATTGACATATCCTCGATAGCAGATCGAGGACGATTAGGCCTGTAAGTATGTCTATATTTTTAGAAATATTCGTTTCTTATATTTAACATTTTTAGATGAATGTACGATCAAAATATTTCGCGTTGCAAAATAGTATTTTTAATCATGAGAAAAGCTGATTTATTTGGCATCACAATGTAAATTTCATAACAGAGAATCATTAATCCCGCGCAAAATATTTACACCTCATTATTAGATATGCATGCGTAATTTACGTGTAATGTTACATATAATGTAAATTTATATCGATCAACGTTAATGCGCTTTCACAGCCATGTAGTTATAAGGAAAAAAAAAAGAAGTCATCCGCATATCTCGAACATAGTATGTAAATAACGGATCGCAGTC